TTTGGTTATACCACATATCCAAATATTTAACAAGGAGCATACCGGTATTTTATACTCTTTATTTTTCGTCCAGAGGTTAAACAAGCAGATTTGCACTGTCACAACAGCTGGTACAAACACATTTCAGACATTTGGTGACAGTGGTATGGCATCAAGAACACTGCATTGTTTATGTAATAAAGAGAGTAAACAGGTTTCGACTATTGTTGTATAAAAGCAAGCTGAATGTGTCAGATAGAAACTAAAGTTGATAAGAATGGTGAGAGCATTAACTGACAGTAGTAATAACTAGCAGAAGAGAGATACCACTGGTTGCTGGAAGGTAAACTACAGTTGCTTTCCAAAGTAAGCAGAGGAATAGAGTAAAACAATATAAGCATAACGATCATGAATATAGTGATAGAGGCTGCGAAGATAACAGCATCACTTTAGTGAGAGTCTGCGGTCTGTTCAGCCGATGACCTCGCTGGGAGCCACATGATGAAGCCGGGTTCCAGCTGTATGAAAGTGGTCGCCCCTCTGGGTCCGTGCTTCAGGACACTTCGGCACAAGGCTCTCCAGCTTCCAGCTGCGCTCGACGGCTGGGTGCTGTGCTTGTGAGCCATCTGCCCCTCGCCTCCTGCTTTACTGGTCGGGGGCCCTACATCTGAGAGAACCACGTTTGCCGTGCCAGCCAGTTGAACAAGAGCAGACGTGAGTGCTAAATTTTCGGCACCTATGCACCAGCCGCTTGTGTCTCCGCCGTAGTGCCGCTACCCAGGTAAACCCCCACTCTGTCGCCTTGGTCAGATTGGATTGGAAGGGCCTTGATTCAGGTCCCGAGGTTGGTAGGTACAGTAGGTGTGCGAGCAAAGAGCATTGCCCAAAATCGAGTGAACAGGCAGTCCAAAGCCCTAAGGAGTGGGTCATGGGCTAGTGGACGTGGGCAAACCCGTGGTGCTGCAAGCCATGTTGTATCAGCCATTTTGAGTGGTATGCCGCAACCTTCCAGCTCACCCTCAACACAGATGTTCCGCTATGTAAGGCCCAAGAGAGTACCAGCGGGGCTGTGATGTTGTCCCCCCGGTCCAGACAGGGGGGGGACAAGGCTCGTAAGACCAGACAAGGCAGAGGATCGGCCACCACCCTGCCTCAAGTATATTCGAAGACTGTCAAGACATACTAGTATTTTAAATGAAAGAATTAAAAAACACAATACTGCATTATAAAATATATATTTATTAAAGTACAGCTACTTTATTGTAGTTTTTGTGTAGTTTTTTCTATTAAAATGCCATATTGATATATGCTTTCAGATTTTAATTATATGTAGTAAAGCCTTTATTTTTCTTTAACAATAACTTTTGTACTCCAGTGGATACTTATTTTTTTTTTCATTTTAAAAATAAGTGTTCTAACCAGTTTTGTATTGATACTAATATACCAGCTTGGTATTTGCACAAGCTACTAGGCATTACATCTTCGAAATGAAGTTGGTTCAATTTTTAAACAGTTTTAAAAACTAGCAGGGGTATCATTAAATAGAGCAATCCAATGCTATTTGTGAATAGAGCAACGTGGTACGTTTCAGCTGCCCTGAAACTAAGCAACGCTAAACACCTTGCACGCATGGAGCAGGGGATTGTTAAACATCCTACTGCCCTAGAACAGAAGATTCTGGTTTTTCCATGCTGCAAAAATGCTGCAAACCTAAAATTTGGGCTCAATTCCCGAATTCCAAGCTGTAATGTACCCAAATTGCGTACAAACTGAAAAGGGCAATGCCAAATATATTCGGAGGAGGTCACTATTATGAATTAACCCAAGAAAGAGATGGTTGATGGGCAAAAAAAGATGATTGATGGTTAGGGGATAGTCACTAAATTATGATTTTTTTTCACAGATCAAATGAGAAACTACAGAGGGAAAAACATGAGTAACACAAAACTATATTTATATAAAAATCTGATCAATTATCTCTTTTTTTGGGCGCAACGGGTGGAATTCAGAGCATTGACCTTCCCTAAACATGTTTGGTATTGCTCCATAATTCTGGTACATTCCAATTTGGAATTTAGAGATTCAGACGAACTCCCAATCGGCCTAAATACAGCGAAATTACAGATCAAAACTAGTTTCAGAATGTAATGCTAAGGTTTGTTCTGCTGGTTACTTTTTACACTTGATCTGTGAACCAAATGGTGGTAGAATGCACCTAAACGTGTACTGTAACTTATATTATGTATAGAATTTACAGCACAGTCGTTGGCCTTTTCGTGTTTTTTGGGTTTCTTCTCTTGATCGGGTTCCAGAATCAACATTCAGCCAAGCTCGACAAACATCTGGCTGAAAGTAGGGTATTGTTAGGGACCAGGAACCAGACAGAGACAGAACGTTGATGCAAAACACTTTTATTGAAAAATAGAAAAAAATTAAATAAACCAAAAGCAAAGTCCAGGAGGCAAGCAAGGGTCAGGCTCCAAAGTAGTCAGACGAGCCGGCATCAAGAGAACAGAGAGCAGCAGAGTCAGGAACTTAGGAATATACAGGAAACAGGAAGTCTACTGGGAAACAGGAAACTATGCAAGGGCAAGGAGTTCCTGGGACTTGCTGTTTAAATAGGCTGCACTGATTAGCAACAGGTCTGGGTGCTAACAACCAGGTGAGTAACCGTGGAAACGGTAATGAAGGAGCTGTTCGTTAAAAGCAGCTGAATAGGTCGGACACAGAGAGAGGAAGGGTTTAAAACAGCAGAGAAATCCTGACAGGTGTCCGAAACATTTTCTTCCTTTGAAAGAAATTATTCACCAGATGCCAGTCTGCCATGCACAAGACTACTAAACATGTTTTCACACTGGAAGCCCAGAAATCCCTGTTATCCAATACCAGGCAACCTTAAATTGTCTACCTGCCTATCATCCTGGAGCAGAGCAACTTTAAACTCACTGCAATCCACACACAAAGAACTCCTTACTGACTGCTACCTGGAAAAGAACAACCTCAAACTCCCTCTTATCATGGTGCAGGATAAACAGCATTGAATCACGGAACAGCGCACCCCAAAATCCCTGCCACATTGCAACGGAGTAACGCTAAACTCACTGCCACATTGCAACAGAGTAACGCTAAACTCACTGCCACCATGGAACAGAGTAACGCTAAACTCACTGCCACCATGGAATAGAGTAACGCTAAACTCACTGCCACTATGGCACAGAGTAACGCTAAACTCACTGCCACCATGGAACAGAGTAACGCTAAACTCACTGCCACCGTGGAACAGAGTAACGCTAAACTCACTGCCACCATGGAACAGAGTAATGCTAAACTCACTGCCACCATGGAACAGAGTAACGCTAAACTCACTGCCACATTTCAACAGAGTAACGCTAAACTCACTGCCACCATGGAACAGAGTAATGCTAAACTCACTGCCACCATGGAACAGAGTAACACTAAACTCACTGCCACATTGCAACAGAGTAACGCTAAACTCACTGCCACCATGGAACAGAGTAACGCTAAACTCACTGCCACATTGCAACAGAGTAACGCTAAACTCACTGCCACCATGGAATAGAGTAATGCTAAACTCACTGCCACCGTGGAACAGAGTAACGCTAAACTCACTGCCACCATGGAACAGAGTAACGCTAAACTCACTGCCACCATGGAACAGAGTAACACTAAACTCACTGCCACATTGCAACAGAGTAACGCTAAACTCACTGCCACCATGGAACAGAGTAACGCTAAACTCACTGCCACCATGGAACAGAGTAACGCTAAACTCACTGCCACATTTCAACAGAGTAACGCTAAACTCACTGCCACCATGGAACAGAGTAACGCTAAACTCACTGCCACATTTCAACAGAGTAACGCTAAACTCACTGCCACCATGGAACAGAGTAACGCTAAACTCAATGCCATCATGGAACAGAGCAACGCTAAACTCACTGCCATCATGGCACAGAGTAACGCTAAACTCACTGCCACCATGGAACAGAGTAACGCTAAACTCACTGCCACCGTGGAACAGAGTAACGCTAAACTCACTGCCACCATGGAACAGAGTAATGCTAAACTCACTGCCACCATGGAACAGAGTAATGCTAAACTCACTGCCACCATGGAACAGAGTAACGCTAAACTCACTGCCACCATGGAACAGAGTAATGCTAAACTCACTGCCACCGTGGAACAAAGTAATGCTAAACTCACTGCCACCATGGAACAGAGTAATACTAAACTCACTGCCACCGTGGAACAGAGTAATGCTAAACTCACTGCCACCATGGAACAGAGTAACACTAAACTCACTGCCACATTGCAACAGAGTAACGCTAAACTCACTGCCACCATGGAACAGAGTAACGCTAAACTCACTGCCACATTTCAACAGAGTAACGCTAAACTCACTGCCACCATGGAACAGAGTAACGCTAAACTCACTGCCATCATGGAACAGAGCAACGCTAAACTCACTGCCATCATGGCACAGATTAACGCTAAACTCACTGCCACCATGGAACAGATTAACGCTAAACTCACTGCAACCATGGAACAGAGTAACGCTAAACTCACTGCCACCATGGAACAGAGTAATGCTAAACTCACTGCCACTGTGGAACAGAGTAACGCTAAACTCACTGCCACCATGGAACAGAGTAATGCTAAACTCACTGCCACCATGGAACAGAGTAATGCTAAACTCACTGCCACCGTGGAACAGAGTAACGCTAAACTCACTGCCACCATGGAACAGAGTAATGCTAAACTCACTGCCACCGTGGAACAGAGTAACGCTAAACTCACTGCCACCATGGAACAGAGTAACGCTAAACTCACTGCCACCGTGGAACAGAGTAATGCTAAACTCACTGCCACCATGGAACAGAGTAACGCTAAACTCACTGCCACTGCAACAGAGTAACGCTAAACTCACTGCCACCATGGAACAGAGTAACGCTAAACTCACTGCCACATTGCAACAGAGTAACGCTAAACTCATTGCCACCATGGAACAGAGTAACGCTAAACTCACTGCCACATTGCAACAGAGTAACGCTAAACTCATTGTCACCATGGAACAGAGTAACGCTAAACTCAATGCCACCATGGAACAGAGTAATGCTAAACTCACTGCCACATGGCAACAGAGTAACGCTAAACTCACTGCCACCATGGAACAGAGTAACGCTAAACTCACTGCCACATTGCAACAGAGTAACGCTAAACTCACTGCCACCGTGGAACAGAGTAACGCTAAACTCACTGCCACATTGCAACAGAGTAACGCTAAACTCACTGCCACCGTGGAACAGAATAACGCTAAACTCACTGCCACCATGGAACAGAGTAACGCTAAACTCACTGCCACATTGCAACAGAGTAACGCTAAACTCACTGCCACCATGGAACAGAGTAACGCTAAACTCACTGCCACCATGGAACAGAGTAACGCTAAACTCACTGCCACATTGCAACAGAGTAACGCTAAACTCACTGTCACCATGGAACAGAGTAACGCTAAACTCACTGCGACCGTGCAACAGAGTAACGCTAAACTCACTGCCACCATGGAACAGAGTAACGCTAAACTCACTGCCACATTGCAACAGAGTAACGCTAAACTCACTGCCACCATGGAACAGAGTAACGCTAAACTCACTGCCACCGTGCAACAGAGTAACGCTAAACTCACTGCCACCATGCAACAGAGTAACGCTAAACTCACTGCCACATTGCAACAAAGTAACGCTAAACTCACTGCCACCGTGGAACAGAATAACGCTAATCTCGCTGCCACCATGGAACAGAGTAACGCTAAACTCACTGCCACCATGCAACAGAGTAACGCTAAACTCACTGCCACCCTGGAACAGAGTAACGCTAAACTCACTGCCACATTGCAACAGAGTAACGCTAAACTCACTGCCACCATGGAACAGAGTAACGCTAAACTCACTGCCACCATGGAACAGAGTAACGCTAAACTCACTGCCACATTGCAACAGAGTAACGCTAAACTCACTGTCACCATGGAACAGAGTAACGCTAAACTCACTGCCACATTGCAACAGAGTAACGCTAAACTCACTGCCACCATGGAACAGAGTAACGCTAAACTCACTGCCACATTGCAACAGAGTAACGCTAAACTCACTGCCACCGTGGAACAGAATAACGCTAAACTCACTGCCACCATGGAACAGAGTAACGCTAAACTCACTGCCACCATGGAACAGAGTAATGCTAAACTCACTGCCACCATGGAACAGAGTAACGCTAAACTCACTGCCACCATGGAACAGAGTAACGCTAAACTCACTGCCACATTGCAACAGAGTAACGCTAAACTCACTGCCAACATGGAACAGAGTAACGCTAAACTCACTGCCACCATGGAACAGAGCAACGCTAAACTCACTGCCACCATGGAACAGAGCAACCTTATATTCACTTCTTTCCAATCCAGAACAAGGCTATGTCTCCTGCTGTATTGGAACAGAACACCCATAAACGCCTTGCCCAAAAAGAGAGCAACACCAAACTCATGGCTGCCATGAAACAGGGCTTCCCAAAACTCAATGACACCCCAATAGAGAACAACCCTAAACATAGAATGAAGAATAAAAAAAACCTTTGCACCATGGAACAGAGCAGCCAGACCAGTGTTAGCAGGTGTTATGTAGACTTAATGAGGAATAATCATGTCCTAACTGGGTCAGTTCTACTGGGCATTTTTGGACCCAATAAGGCCGCTGCATGCAGGCTCAGTCATGAAGTGATAGCATATAATATTTGTTATAAAATGATAGCACCTGTTCTAGCGGTTCATACTGGGTTTCCAATAGACGTGTTATAATTTGTGTCTTGCAGCACTGAAGCAGATCTGATACAGTGAAAGAGTTAACAAAAGCAGGGGATAGGCAGAGAGTGATCTGCGTAAATGAGCAACTTGGCTTTTATCAAAATAATTGATTCTATAATCTATCGGCTCCAATCTGGGTTATACTATGTTTACAGCATTTTTGGTAATAGTTTTGGACAAAAAACAAATGTAAAAAAAAACTAATATCCATGTAATTCCTTTTTACTATATCGTAGTCAGCTTGTTGGGTGACAGTGAGCTAGCAGAATAATTTCTAGAAAAATTAGGACAGGGAGCAGTCAGCAGCGAACCCTTTAAATGCCAGTGGGAATGTATTTTATAAAACAATAGCCACTGTCTACTAATGAAGGGATTAACTCACCTGCTGCTTACTTTGTGTATATTTAGACCCTCCAGATATAAAATAGAAATTTAGCAATATATTATCATCAATCACTAAATTACTCAATTTGAAATGCAATATAAACCTGGATTGTACTTGTAAACATTTTGTTATATAAAATATTACACAATGTGACGTGTAATCTGTCAGATGTAAATACTTACATTTTAGCCGAGTCATAATTCTCTTTTTAAATAAATAAATAATTAAATAAATCAATCTAAAAGATTTCTGCTGCTTAGTAGTTAATTACATAAAAAAAAAAAAAAAAAAACTCAACGGTCACACAGTTAAAAAAAAAATTCTGCAAGTTTCCCCAGGTCATATAAGAGAAAGTAACCCATCGGCACCTCTCTTTACATGAGAATTAACATTGAGTATTTAAGCGTGACGCGCTGACCATTGGGAGCTTGCAAAAGCCAGCTTCTGATTTAAAACCAATTTCTCTCTTTCTTTTTTTTTTTTTTTTTTTTGAAGAGCCCAAAAGAATACAAAAAAAAAAAACCTTGGATCTCATCTGCATTACAGATCAGGCCTCTTTGAGAAAATCAAGCATCCATAATTCATGGCATTTTCCCCGCAGGGCTCGAAGACACAAGTGATCCTAGCAACAGAATCATAGCAACCACAGATAATCCCAACCAATCCATTTCCCGGCTCTCTGATCACATTTAGCCAATCAAGGTATAGAAAGCAGAATCTCAAATGTTGTCAACGGACTTATAACGGTGACATGCACCCAATTTACACTAATCTTCTGTTAGATCTCTCTTTTGAGAATTTACATAGGGTTTGCACAAAAAAAAAAAACGACGGCTATAACATGCGCCTTCTTTTTAGCGACGGGAGTCTGCTGAATAACCCTGTTTAAAGACGATGAGAGAAAATAAATAGGAAAGTGAGGATTTGACACATGTCAATTTCGAAAAGAGGATACAATCTTTTGTTTGTCCTTGACATAGATACAGGATAATCAAGTGCTGCGTTGCTGAGCTAAGACTTGGTTTTATTACAAAAAATATATGTATATTAGCAATCTTTTATTAGTTTTCATGAATACTCCTTGCTGGAAAATTATTGGTCTTGGCTTTTACGTTTTAATTTTTCAGTGTGCAATAAACCACCAGTTTGTATGATATGTGCATAAAACATATAAAAGAAATGGTTAAAATAAAATGAATGCACACACACAAACATGTGTTTGAACTGGTGAGTGCAGAATACACCTAATTATTTTGCTTGCAAATATCCTTTTATTTTCATGTTTGGCATGAGCATTGATATATATATAAAAAAAAAAAAGAAACATGATCATAACAATATATTTTTAATTTTTTATTTTTTTTTATGCTGGAGAAAAATAAAAATTATCATGTGTGCAGGGGGGAATCAGCTTTAAAAGATGCCACAAAAAAACACTGGAAAGTTAAACATAGAAACATAGAATGTGACGGCAGATAAGAACCATTCGGCCCATCTAGTCTGCCCAATTTTCTAAATACTTTCATTAGTCCCTGGCCTTATCTTATAGTTAGGATAGCCTTATGCCTATCCCACGCATGCTTAAACTCCTTTACTATGTTATTTATTAGTGTTAAATGGGCAAACAGCATGAGAACTATGACAAACTATTTACAAGTTAACAGAGGCTGATGTGATGCATCTGTCAGGATTCAATAAGTAGTTTCGTTTATGGCTTTTCTTAAGAGAAGCCACTTACAATTATTGACGTACACATTCCATAAGCCACTGCCTAGAATTGTGATGACACTGTCACAGTTCTCTTCTCTCTGGGTCTGTGTGAAGGGCAGCTACTGGTTATGACATCAGACATAACTAGCCTCGCTAAATTGTGCACACAGCGGACCTACGAGGTAGCATTAGAAAAGATCTAAACCGTTACGTGTAGATCATTAAAGTAACCCTTGCAGGATCCCTTCTATGCCGCTGAAACTGATGGAATATCTTGCATTTGAATTATATATATATATATATTTTTTCCATTTTGTTAATCATTGCCAGAATTGTACAGTAGAACAATCACAGACCTGCACTGGTTTTGTACCTTCGGACATTATGTCCTTGTGTGTGTGCGCCTGCTTCGAAACACAGATATCTGACATCTCCTTGTGTGTCTTAATATTGCTTAAGAAATCATCATATGAAGGGAAAATCAATGGCCATCAGCAGGCGGGAAACAGCATAAATTATTTTCAGACACTAAGCAGAGGTTCGAAAAATCAAAAATGACAAGCCTTGTGAGTTAAATGAGGATGTCATAGACTTACAAGCAGTGCATATTTCTGATTAAATGCCTGTTTCTTGGCGGTGTGGACCAAGTGAATTGGATCCATTTTTCTTTAGTTACACTGTGGACAGCCAGCGCAGTGTCTTGTTGGCTATTTTTGTTCTACTCAATTGTAGAATACAATGTAAAAAAACACCAATGTACATTTTATACAGACCAAAACATAAAAAGTATTTATAGTAAAGACCTCTAGTGTTACTCTGTTGCGGTCACTCCCTGGAAATAGGGATCAAATGTGATAAAAGGGGTTACATGGGGGCTGCACAAATTGCGGGGCCCACGGGGCAGCTGCTCTGGTGCCCCCCAGGAGCAACTGGGCCCGGGGCAGCTGCCCCGTTTGCCCCGCGTTAAAGACGGCCCTGTCTACGAAACATGGCAACTCTTTTACAGGGTTAAGAATTCTCAAGAATTTAAAGTACATTTCAAAGGTCAAAGGTCAAAGTTGCCAAACTGAAAGCCTATCTGACTTGGAGACTTTTTCCAGTTCAGTTATTTGGGCGGTAAAGTTAAAACCCAAAAAATTAATTAACAATTAATTTTTAAAATTTCAATATTTTCTTTTTAAATTAAAAAAACTAAATGAAATAGCATAGCTGATTTGTAAAGTCATATCCCTTAGAAAGACTGCATATACACTGAAGTTTGTTGCTTCTCTGAAACACTCTTTTTAGATTTATGGAGATGTGTGCTTGTATTTTTTAAATAATTTAGAACAAGCTGGGCAATAACATCTGTGGACAGTATAGGGCAAACACAAAATAACTCAAAAAATAAAAGTTTTGTTGGCAAAGCTTCCAACAAAGCGCGAGCAGAGAAATAATTCTCCTGAATTCTTGGAATATATTTTGCCACACAGCAAGCTCTATACTTCTTCTCACTTGTTTCCTTATTAATTTGTACCTATTTGGAATTACTGTACTTTGGTGTGAAATAAGTTATGACATATTTAATTGAGTCATAATGTTGGGTACATTTATATTAAAACGTAGGTGCCAATGTGACTCATACTCTGCTTAAAAAAAACAAGCTTCAATTCTATGAATAGAACGGCATATAATAAAATATAATAATATAGACGTGTGTTATCTTTATTGAAACAAAATATCTCTTTTAAAGCGGCAATATTAAAAAAAGTAGATGCAAACTCTGACCTATGATCTGCTCCTATCAGAGATTTCATATACTATATAAAATCTAATAGACCCACAGCACACCATTCATGCAAAAATATTTATTCAATTAGATACAATATAGCATGTCATAAGTATACAAACAAAAGTGCAATAAAGATAAAGTGCAAAGTATCCACACCTTAATCCACACAAATAAAGTACAACAAGGTTACCTTCAGAAACCTTACAAAACACACCAGTGTTTTAGATTGGCCCCTGTCAGAGCACTAGTTTTAGGAGTTACTTGTGTAACTAGTTTGGTACATAAGGTACCCAAGACCATTAGTTATTTGAGACTCCTGTGATCAAGGTGGTGGCTGAAACGTTGGGGTATTTTTGTCTCCAGCCGTAGGTCAGTATACAGTTTCTGAAGGTAACTTCGTTGTACTTTATTTGTGTGGATTAAGGTGTGGATACTTTGCACTTTATCTTTATTGCACTTTTGATTGTATACTTATGACATGATATATTGGATCTAAATGAAATGGTGTGCTGTGGGTTTCTTCTATTTGTATGTATAATCTTGATATGGTAACAAGGTTTTTAACCCATTCCAGCACCCTGCTATAAATAGTGCATGTTGATAACACAGGGGATTACCTACTGGAGTTGAGTGCTTACTACATTTCTTATAACTATATAAAATCTACACTGAACAGCCACAACATTAAAGCCACCTGCCTATCATGTAGGTCCCCCTCACGCTGCCAAAACAGCTCATATGGGTTGAGGCATGGACTCCACAAGACATCTAAACATGTCTTTTGGTATCTGCCACCAAAAATATAGCAGCAGATCCTGCTAGTTGCGAG